TATGCAATCGCTCTTGCTCGGATGTGCTTTATTACAAGATGAAACTGAGGATACTTTTATATGGCTATTCGAGGAATGGCTACGAGCAATGAATGGGAAACATCCAGTTGCCATAATTACTGATCAGGTATGATCAATTTGCCATAATTAATTGCCAAAGATGATACTGTCAGATAATTGATATATAGCTATATAATAGAATAATTTTTTGTAGGTAGAATTTACAATATTCCTATGTGTTTGCAGGAAGATTTAACTTTGAGTTTGTTGGATAAGTGCAAGAAATCACTTTATGTCATCAAGGGGATTATGGAAAGCACAACAGATGATTAAGTGACACTTTATGTCATCAAGAGGCTTTATGGAAATCACTTTATGTCATCAAGGGGATTATGGAAAGCACAAACCGAATGTCAGAATGATGGAATTAAAAACATAGTTATGCAGATTTGATTTTAGATAAAAAGAGATGCAACTGTCATTGATGGTGAATCTAATGATGCAAAAATGAAGTTTTAGTTCTAAATTTTGATGTTTATCTTATATTCATTTTTGGATCTATGAGTGTGCAATAAGCATATCTCTAGGCTTCTTTTGTTGTCCCTTGCCTTTTCTCCAAACAACAGAAACACATTCGGTTTTTCATTTGTGTGGTTTTAGTTATTTTAGTTTTGAAAGTAAGTGGCCTTTTAACAGGTTTTTTTTGTGTGGAAGAGAGGGTTCTTGCATGCTCTTGCTTTAAAATAGTCTGATAAAAAAAAATCTGCAATAGTTACAACTATCATATTGATTTAGAGGGATGACTTCTTAATGTTCGATACAGATAGAACTTGAAAACTGGTTGCATGCCTTCATAATTGAACGAGATATTGTTCAACTGGGTTATGGGAAACGAAATTTAGGTATTATAACTTCAGTGTAGGTTATCAATTTGTTGTTATTTTTAATTTCTTTCACAAGCTATTCAAACCAGTTTTTTGGGCAGATGTAAATAGATCTATTTGTATAAAGTCAAACAAATGTATGATACTATTATGTGTTGCCACTTAGTACATCAATGACATTGCCCATTCAATGATAGGACATTTAGAGACTAAAAAAAATCAAAATAGATAGAAATAGACAGAAATTTAGTGGTCCTAGAGGGTTTAAATGGCGTGACATATGTTTAAAGGGTCTTTTTGTTCTAGGAGCTGAAAGCCTTTTCCTTTTGCTTCTAGCCTTCCTAGGAACAGCAAAATTTTGCAAATGAGACTCAGATTTCCGGGTTCTCTGCAATGTGCCTGAAGCTTTGTATCTTGTGCTTGTGCTTGTAGTCTTAACACCATTACGTAGCAACACACAACTTGGAGGGCTGGCAAAAAGTCTTCAACAAATATTGAAAGCCATTCCAAGTCTTAATACCATCAGCTGTTTCTTCTGGTTCATTATGAAGGCACCTGATGAGCCATTCATTCAATTTTTTGACATAAATTTTTAGTCTTAACCCAATTGTTGAACTGACTGCACCAATTCAGAAGCTCCTTTTGAAGTTCTAAGATAGCCTTCAAACCTTCATCTCTTTGCAAACCAGTGTTAATCTTAACAGACTGAGTTTTACTCTCCATGATAGCTTGGAACTGTTTTTGGTGGCATATGAGCATGAATTTCCACATTCTTATTAACCTGCTGACAAATAGGCAATTCGTCAAATCAATAGCTCCGTAACTTCTAACTTAAAAAAAACAAAATATTTTTCCATTCCAAAACCAAGAAGTATAATACTAATAATGACATGTAAACTAGTCTTCAACCACTTCCCATGTGATGAGAGATAATCACTGAAGCCTATTTCTCATCCATTTAGTCCCTCAAAGATATAAATTGGCTTCGTGTCATCCTTGTATCCATCTTAGACAAACCTCCTCAATGGAATGTCTGAGTTGACACATTAAGTACATATGTGAATAATTTTAGCATATGCATATTGGAGGAATGGAGGCAAATTACAAACAAAGGAATGATCTCCTAGCACGTCAAAATTTATAATGTGTCATATTTTAGCATGATCCCATCGTTCAGAACTTGCATACAGATTAGATAATAAAGCAAGAGTACCAATGCCATCATTTGCAAAACAAGTAATTGAAGGGACTCAGTTGGGCATTTTAGTGCATCTTTATCAGAAAACTGAAGAGAAATTACCCAACATTTTGCATTTAGATTGATAAGAAAATGGCATCCACATCAAGTGAAACTCTACATTTTATCTACATCTCCCTTAAAATCAAGAGCTTACCCAAGCAGGTCTTGCACACGGTTTGGACGGCGGAGCAACAGGGGTGGATGGTGGCTTTCGGCAATTCGTCGAAAATTCGATTAACCTCCGCGCTGCTTTGACGGGACCGACGACATCTCAGCCGCCGCCGGAGACTGCAGAGAAGACGGCGGCTCCAATTTCATTTGGAAGTAGCGGGGGTCGCCGCCGGACATTAACTTCTCCGTCGCCATGGGAACTTGAATTGTCGGCGATGGAAAACGCTGCGAGGGAATTGAATGCGACGAAGAGGAGGAGCTGCAACGACGTGGTTGGTCGTTTTGGATCCAAATCCAAATTCAGAAAGAGAAAGCTGGTTTTAGTCAGAATAGAAAAAGATGTGAGGGTCTTCTGTTACGGTGAGAAAGGGAATTTTGAGAAAGAGACGAGAGTGTGACCTAGAGAAAGAGAAAGGAGGTGAGTGATTGAGGGAAAAATTGGGATTATAAGGGATAAATATGAGCCATTAGATTAAAAGTTAATCTAATGGTTATAATTCAGTAGTAAAGGTAGTAAGATTAACAGGTAGTAAATATAACCCCTCCCATGTTTTAGTAATGTTTTTTTTTATCTTTTTGTTATGATATTATGAAAAATGTTCAATACTTAAATGTCAAGAAGTTTATTTTTTTAATGAAATGTATCACCAATAATATTGAGCAAACTAATTGAGATAGAAATTAATCATTGTGGATCCTTTGAAAAATATTGAGGGTGATTGTTTCAGATCTCTATAATAAACTTGTATTTTATTTAACTTTTATTTCCACTGATGTATTTTAACTCTAGGTAGCTACCATTGTTAAATATTAGGTGAATAGTCACTTAGTTTACTTTATCTTTGGGGACGTTGACCGTATTGTCCCTTTTTTTAATATAATAACCTAAATGTCACGTAGTAAAAAAAAAAATTCCAAACTGATAGGGCACCATAGTCGCTGAAGTAGTCAGTTACTATAGACGGGACACGTGTCGCTTTCCTAGCAGCTGGAACACCAAAGTAGCTATGTAGTGACTTTGGGTTGAATGAGTTGTGTGTCCCGCCGTTGGGGACGTGACACATGTCTAGTCTATAATTTGAAAAAAAAATTGACTCTGTGAAATTCAAGTATATTATATTCAAAAAAGAAACAGTACGGTCAATGACCCTTACCTTTGTATCACCACGGTTTCGATGGGCTTTTGTTTTTCTGTATCATGTCTTTCTTTGTATCTAAATTCTAAACAGAAGCATGAATAAAAGATGCTCATTTTCTATGATGCACGGACACTGACACGGGACACGACACGACGACACGTTAATTTTAAAAAATGACATATTTTGACACGTTGGGACATGTTTTGATATTAAATAATATTTTTAATATATATAATATAATTTATATTTAATAGATATAACAGTCGATAATAAGTCATATAACTAATCAAATATTCAAATTTCATAACATAAATATAAACAAAAATAATTTTTCGTACCTTGTTAATTTTTCATGTCAAATTTCATAACAGAAAAAAATTGATTTATAAATAATTTTTTTTTATTTTTAGTTAATAAAATAAAATTAAGATTAAAAAAAAACGTGTCCGAGCGTTGACCGTGTGTCGGAAAACGTCGACTGCATGTTGAAAAAATGTATCGGAGAGTTGACCGCGTGTCCCAAAATATTGGCCGCGTGTCAGAGTGTGTCCGTACATTTTGGAAAATTTAACGTGTCCGTGCATTGGAGCTCATTTTCATCTCACCCAGAATTTCTCTACGAAAAACCTAAGACTAAAATAAAGGAAAGTCGTAGGTGTTCGTAACAAAATAAATATAAATATAAATCTTATACTAAATGTGTACTATCTTAATTATTCGGAAAAAAAATGTCAATGCAGTTCATCCATTTTTATTTTTATTTTTGAAAATATTCCATCGATTCATCCATTTTTAATGAAAATACCCCCAGCGTGTACAATCTCAAAGACTTTAGACGCTGTGGTTTTACTGATACTATATGAAAGTCTTCTTTAATTTGTTTAGCGAAATGACATGCATCACAATCACAAACACCATCACGATGAAATGGAATGAAAGTAAAACGAGTTGACATTTCTCGTAAAATAGTTTCGGGTACATGACCTAGTCCCCAGTGCCACAATGTGGAATCACCTTTATTCTCCTTACAACTACTTGTATTATTACATATTTTTCAAACATCTACTGGAGATTCCTCGATCTTCTTTATAGCAATTATGTTTGACATCAAATATACTCCACTTTTTTTTTTCAGTTATACCAATCATCACCTTGGTAAATACATCCTGAACAATGCAATAAGAGGAACAGATCGGATATTAGGCAACAAGGATGATTGCTTAAAAGTTTAGTCACTGATATTAAATTGACTTTAAAATATTAGGAACATATAAAACATTGAATAGGGTAAGTTTAGGAGAGGTAATAATGGTTCCTGAATATGAAGCTATAACGCATGCACCATTGGGTAAGTTGATGGAAACTGGTTTAATCTTTTTAATAAAGGAAAAGTAAAGCTTAAAATAGGTAATGTGATCAGTTGCACCTTGTCCAAAATCCATTGTGTTTCTTGGATACCTGAACTTAGCATGTTCTCAGTATGTATGTTGGAGACCTGTGTGAAATTGGTGGAATGGATGGCTGGATTGGCTAGGTGCTGCATTGCTCCTTTCAAGAAGCTCTAGTTCAAAAAACTGTATGCATCCCATTATGAGAATACTCTGACTTATTTTGAACAATATGGCTTGCTTGCTCCTTGATTAGCACATACAGCCCCTCACTTGCCTCAGCTATACCAATCGTCCTCTTGGTGTTGGCCTGTTTAATGTAGCAATGGAATTTGTGAAAAGTCAGATAACATGGAATAACTGACACAAGTTTGGATACAGAGATTAAATTGACTTTAAATTCGGGAACATAAAGCACATCTAATAATGTGAGAGAATCAGACAAATGTACAGAACCAGAAAGGGTAGTTACCACATGTGTTCCATTTGGCAACATAATGGATATAGGTGAAATTTTATGTGTGGAAGAGAATTGTGAAAGTATTGGACAAATGTGATCCGTGGCCCCAGTGTCAAGAAGCCAATGGACAGATGTATTACCTGGTTGGTTATTGTTTAAAGGAAGGAGAGAGTTTGAGTTCATGGCTACAGCTTGAACCAAATTAGTTGAATGGGTGACTTCTTCACCGGTAGATGAATGTAAATGTCGGCCATGTAACAGATCAACAAGCTGTTGATACTGCTCCTGTGAGATAGTGAGCCCAGCTTGAGTATCATTAGTTGTTCTATGTTCAGAATCACCAAATTGAGCATAATTGGCTGCACTGCGAGGTTTCAAATTGGATGTTCTGTATCCTCGAGGATAGCCATGAATTTGATAGCAAGTTTCCACAGTATGGTTGAGTCTACCACAATGTGTACACACCTTGCTTCCACGATTATTGGTAGAACCAGCATGACCATTGTTTCTAAATCTTGTTTTGTCAGCAGGAGCATATCTTTTTCCAGTGCTCGAATTTCCAGCAAAAACTCGTGAATCCATGGATGAGTTTCCATCATGTTGAAAATGCCTTTCTTGTTGTACTACAAGAGAAAATGCTCTACTTACATGTGGAAGAGGATCCACCATCATGATTTGTGACCTTACATGAGCATATTGCTCATTTAAGCCTTTAAGAAACCTCACTGTATGATCTTGACTTCGATAGTCTCTTACCAGAGTGATGGCACCACATGTACATGGAGTTACACATCGACAAGAAGGCAAAGGCCTCAAATTATGTAGTTCATCCCAAAGCTTCTTCAATTCAGTAAAATAATCGGTGATACTTAGCTCACCTTGTTGAAGTTTGTAGACATCTTCTTGAATATCTGACATCCTGAAGATATCTGACTGACGAAAACGATCTCTAAGATCATTCCAAGCTTCGAAAGCACGATCAATCCAAAGGATGGATTGCTTAATGGAATCATTGATTGATCTATGGATCCATGCAAGAACCATAGTATTGCAGCGTTGCCAAGCCAAGAACATAGGATCTGTGGCATCTGGTGGAAGTAGAGAACTATCAATGAAACTGAGTTTGTTCTTTGAAAGAAGTGCCATACTCATGGCTCGCGCCCAGGAATGGTAGTTCCTCCCATTCAGCAATGGAGTAACTAGCACCAAGGAGGGGCTTTCATTCGGATGTAGGAAATAGGGCTTTTTGACCCTTATGCCCCTTAATTAATAATTAATTACCAAATTGCCCTTCATTCAAAACTATTTCGAAAATTTACCCTCCCCAACAAACATAACACCAATCTGCCCCTGTTTGACCGTTGACCACGAAGCCTACCCGGGTACACCATTACCTACCCGGGTAAATTTTGAAACTTTTTATCTACCCGAGTATGTAGGGGTGTACCCGGGTAGAGTTCTTGAAGCTGGGAAAATGTTTGAATTATTTACCCGGGTAAGGAGCAGTGTACCCGGGTAAATCGCGTCCAGAAACCCCAATATGTATGGGTTTCGGCCATTGTTGCGAGGTATAGGGTTTTTGAAACCCCAAATCTTTCTCTCTTACCCTCTCTAATCCGAAACATCACACATATTTCATCTCATCATTTCAGAAAGCTGAATCTTGGTGGGACATTGAGATTACATCTCCACACTCCCATTTTGTGCTAAAAAATCCGAACCAACCTCCAAACCCAAAACCTAGATCTAATTTTTGTGTGAAAGATGAGTTCAAGTCCAAACATGGTTCCTATAGTTATTTACTACAATGGGAGGCATTTTGAAGGTCCGAACGGTGTCCGATTTGAAGGAAAAACAAAAACGATGAAAATCAAAGTGGGCACTACATGCAATGAACTGAAGGAGAGAATTCTTCAAAAAATGGGGTCAGAAGGCATACATTCTATCCACCGCATGATAGCCAGGTTAGAGACTGTAGTGGATATGGATACAATATACTACATTGGAAACGATATAAATGATGATGAAGATGTGGAGTTCGTAACAGATGCGTTTGTTGAATGGAAAGTATTAAAATATATTGAGATATATGTTGAAGTTGATGTTGGACAATCTTCATCTTTACCGGTGCATACAACCACTACTGCACACTGTACCGGTCAAGAAGATACAGTTGTACGATCTTCTGCACCTCCTCAGGTAGCATTGGATGAGGATGAAGAGGATGAAGACGAGGACTATGTGGACAGCGAAGATGAGGGAGAACCTGAAAGTGCTATTCCAGAAGGTGATTCGTCAGACACTGACGTGGACGGTAATTTTGAGGCTGACATGAGCGCTGTAAGTCTCGGTACCCCAGCCTTGTCACCACTTCATGTCGACCCAGTTCGTGGTACCCGGGTAGACCAGTTGCAGATGCTGTTGCAGAAGCTGTTTTGGCAATTTTTGTTGCATTTTGGTAATTGTTGTGCAATACCTACATACGGTATGACTTGGGGGTGGATTGATTTCGTAGAAATAGGATGCAATAATCAAGATGTGCGCCAATGAAAGTTGAACATGAATATTAAAGTACTTTGGGTTGAATTGATTTCCAAATTAATTATGACAATATTAATGCAAGGTCCCATACTAATGCATAGAACCAACAAGTCTGAACGTGCGCAAAACGAAAATTTCATTCATTCAAATTTTGAACATCCAGTACAAAAACATCCATGCAATGTAGGTAAAGTTCCTAAATGTACCAAAATGACTACATTACATCAAACTAAATCAATGATATGAAACCCTATGGACACACTAATCCGATGGCGTGTCCTCCCCATTCTCTTCATCCGATTGTGTGTCATCCCCATTGTCATCATCCTCCTCATCCTCCTCCTGAGTATGGGAACCCTCGCCAATTAAACCCTCCAAGCGTGAAACCCTTGTGTCCAACCGTGCAACCCTTGTGTCCATCTGGTTTCGCCACTTGCTCGTGCTCTGTCTATATCCTCTAAAGTCAGTAGTCAGATCATATAAGGATGCCATGACATGATCAAGTGTCCATCCACCCTCAGGAGGAGCTGGTGGTCGCCGACTGCGGGTGGGACGTGTCGGTCTGACATCAACCTCAGCAACGCCATCATCATCGTCATCATCATCAAGGCCTACATCATAAACCATGAAAAACAAACTTCAATACCACATTAAAAATTAAACAACACAAAATTGCATAAACTCATAAAGACCAACACATCACCTGCAGGTGCATCCTCCATCTCAGCATCGTGGTGGAATGGGATCTTAGGTGGTTCTGGTGCCTTCTTCCACATCCAGATACCCGCTTTGTTCGGTAGGATCCCACACTACTTCAGGAGCCTCTCACCAAATATAGCATTCCAGCCTCTGGCGGTCTTCAAGGTCTCTGTTGCCGTAGGCACTCCAAATCTATGCAGAATCTTCTGCACCAGAAATGCAAAAGGCAATTCAGCCTTCTTTGACTTGGCTGCCTTCCACATCAGTATGCATATGTAATGCCTCCAGTTCACCTGCTGACTGTGAAGGAGGGCCCACAGGATGACAAAGTCCCCTTCCAGCACCTTTGAGTGATTATGCGGGCGCTGGAAAATAATATGTGTCACCACATAATGAAGAATGCGAGCAGAAACTAACAAGTTGCTAACAGGATAATGAGCAAAATGACCGGGCTCAGCGTCTGCCCTCCTAGTCTCTGTAACAATGGTCTCCCGGTTATAATCACCAAATATATGATGGTTGTCTCCATCATATAGTGCTGCTCATGTGACACCATCAAAATCGAACCCCAGTAGCTCCGTCCAGATAGGAGCAGTCATGATGATATCAATCCCGCAGACACGGGAAGTCAGCTCGCCTTGCGAGTAGCCAAGGTTCTGGTAGAAGGCTCTTACCATAACCTCCGAGTATGGGCACCGCATCTCCGCCAGGTGAAGTAAATGTGTCTGCTCAAGAAGCGGCACAATGTCAAAACGCTCTAGGTTGAAGAATGCCGAATCCAGTGATTTCGGTTCGCAGATCTTCCGGGTCATGAAAAACTTCACGAACTTCTCGTGTGAAGGAATGTCATCCTCAAACAAATATCCGAACGTCAAGTCCGGAGCCTGACTCGAAGCAGCCTGGGGCTGAGAGGATGACGACCCATCGTGACGACTCTTGGTTCTTCTCTCGGAATGGGTCACTTGCAGCTTTGAAACGCGTCGAGAGGTCATTGTGTCACACTATTAAACTGAAAAAATAACCAAAATCAGAAATTAGATACATGTTAGGGTTAGGGTTAAGGTTAGGGTTAGGGTTAGATTCAGGGTTAGGGTTAGGGTTAGGGTAAGCGTATGACATACAAATTGATAAAATAATTCGGACAGAATCAAATGATATAAACGAAAATACAATGAATCAGAACAGAAATCATAACATAATTGAAAAAACTGAAAAAAAAATGCACCTTTGATCGATTTCAATCGGTAGAAGGCAGAGAGGTTGCAAGGTCCGCGAATGATGATCACAAACAAGACGAATTAGTGCAAGATTATGCCTGAAATCGCTCAAGATGACACTCTTCCAGCAGCTCTACTCGGGTACCCCTTTTGTGGGTTTTCGAAATGGGGCTGCTGGGGTATTTTAAAACCCTACCGTCGATGTTTACCCGGGTACACTGCTCCTTACCCGGGTAAATAATTCAAACATTTTCCCAGATTCAAGAACTCTACCCGGGTACACCCCTACATACTCGGGTAGGTAAAAAGTTTCAAAATTTACCCGGGTAGGTAATGGTGTACCCGGGTAGGCTTCGTGGTCAACGGTCAAACAGGGGCAGATTGGTGTTATGTTTGTTGGGGAGGGTAAATTTTCGAAATAGTTTTGAATGAAGGGCAATTTGGTAATTAATTATTAATTAAGGGGCATAAGGGTCAAAAAGCCAGGAAATAGGGATTTGCAGGATTAGTAAGGTAATCTGGAAGTGGCAATTGATTAGCCATGGAAGATCGAAATCAAGAAATCAAGAAGGAAGAATGAGCGAGAAAAAATGGAATTTTCTGAGTGAAAAGGAAAATGCAGCGGAGGTGGATACCAGAGCCTAGATACGCTCTGATACCATATTACTAAAACTGAGAAAAATATTCATTGCATTAATGAGAGCATCTTGCTCATGTAAATATATATACAAGGTTATCAGCATAAGCTGAAGAAATAAAGTTAGCTATCAGAAACTAGCCAACAAACTAACTAACAAACTAAGAACGGCTATTAACAAACTAATAACTGACTAACAAATCTTGAAACTAATCACGTGGGTGCAGTTGAACTGGGAGGCTTGTTATCAGTTTGTGAAGCTGCTTGATCTATCTGTATTAAGAATACATTGATATTGATCATTGGAGAATGAAATTAATTGTTGAAGAGCTCTCTAGTTTCTCAGTAGTATAATCAATATGTGGTTCTCGACTCACATTTTGCACATTTTGTGTAGCAGCATTCTTTGGTCTATATCCTTGAGGAAATCCACGAAGATGAAAACAAGTCTCGACTGTGTGTTATTCCTCCCTATTAATGAAAAGATGATTAACAGATCATCCATTTATACTATAATCAAAGGTGGGAAAGCTTATATACCCAACTAAGTGAGTTTAACAAAATCCAAAACATAATAAACCACATTTAGTTAATTTGTTGCATGGTCGTTCTGCTGGCGTGGCTCTAGTTTTAGCTCAAACTCTCTTCTAGACTTTTGCTTATCTAGTTAAAAAGTTTGAAAAAAAAAAATATGATTTTTTTTAAATGCTTTCAGAAAAAATATGAGTTTAGTTAGTCATGTGCTCTTCTCAGGTGCATAGACGGAACAAAATAAAACATCTTTCTCTTTCATTTCATTCTTTTAGTGAAATTGAAAGTATCAATGTTTATCATTAAATTTATTTTCATAGTTGTTGATATATTTTTTAAATAAAGTACAATATTAATTGTTCAATGAATACCTTGTTAGGTATTATTAGGTGGTGAATGCAACTCGCAATAATTATATGTACAGAGTTGACCTACCGATACGCTATACAATATTATCATTAATTCATTAAATAGTCAAATTATTTTGAAGAAAACGGAATATAGGTCCACACACACATAAGACAAGGGTAATTACGTCTTTTAAAGATGAAAGAAAGAAATCACCGTTGGAGACTTTAGAGTGAAGGGGAAGTTGCCCACAACTAACCACCCTGCCACGTGGCACTACATTAAATATTCTCTTCCCATTTAACTCCAAAAGCTTCCTGCTTCACGCATCATCACAGCTAACAATTCCTTTTCTCTCATTCTCTCTCTTCATAAGTTTTTCCCTTTCTCTCTCTTCCATTTCCCTGTGCATTAATCATAACAGCATCAATGGAGGTTCTGTTGCATTTCTAGTTAACTTTTTTTTTTTTTTTTTTTTGCAATTTGGTTAGTTGAGGTTGTTGGTTAGGTTTGTTACGTTCCGTTACGGCCATGGAGTTGGAGCATCCAACAACAACGCATCTCAACTCCGCCATGACCTTCGATGAAGTCTCCATGGAACGCAGCAAGAGCTTCGTCAACGCCTTGCAGGTTCTCTCTCTCTCTCCTAATTCTCACTATTTTACTTTTTTTTTGCTGTGAGTTTTTTATTTTTTTTATTTTTAATTTTGGCCTAGATCTGCATTTGTTTAGGTTTTATTTGGTGGACTTTGTTTCTTACAACTAGGTGTGTTCTCAATGAATTGGAACTGAAGCTATGATATCTCTTACGTGTTTAAATTGAAATCTTGAATGAATTAGATAATTGGAACTGAACTCAGTGGGACTAGTTGTAGATCCAAATATACGAATGTGTGGAATTGAATAAGGTGATCCTCTTGATAATATTTAGCACTTTTTTTAAGGAATTGAACACAAATGATCCTCTAGTTTTTATCTTCTTATGGTATTGTTTGAATGTTTTCTCTTTGATTGTTGAGGTTATGATTTAAAACATGAATAGCATAAGCAGTCATTTGATCCTCGTATTATGTTCATTTCAGGAACTTAAGAACCTGAGGCCTCAACTTTATTCTGCTGCAGAATACTGTGAAAAATCTTATCTCCATAGTGAACAGAAACAAATGTAAGGAATTTTTTATTTTTATTTTTTTAAATTTGCTCTTGAAGGCAATCTTACCCTCTTCTTTCTAGCTGCTTTTCTATGTAAATGACTGAAGCCACAACTCATCAAACAATTAGTGGTGGAGTTTTCTTCCTTTCAATTCTTACCCGGGATGCAAATGTTATAAATTAAATTTCTCATTGCATTCTGCTGGGGCATTTTAATAAATGCTAGTTATGTATAGCATGTATGAAATGCCATTAACTGGCTTTGAGGATTGTAACACTGTCAATTATTGCAATTATTTTGCTAAATGTGAATAACGTGAAATTAAACTTGGATAAAAAAGGATGCATAACTGCATGGATGTTCCCTTAGTCGTATGTTATTTATGTGTTAGGGTACTTGACAACCTGAAAGATTATGCTGTAAGAGCCCTTGTGAATGCTGTTGATCATCTTGGAACTGTTGCATACAAGTTAACTGACCTTCTTGAGCAACAAACATTGGATGTCTCAACTGTGGATTTGAAGGTTTCTGCCCTAAATCAGGTACTTACAAACTTTTTTGAGATATTATCTTTTAATAGATAAATATTAATTGGGGTTGAAGTCACATATTTGCTTACTGGCAGAAACTTCTTACATGCCAAATTTACACTGATAAAGAAGGTCTTCGGCAGCAGCAATTGTTGGCTTTCATTCCCAGACATCATAAGCACTACATTTTGCCAAGTAGGCCTCACTGCATTTATGTTCATCTGGAAGTAGTTATTGGCACCAAATATCTATAACCGTAGTTTTTACTAATGGTTCTCTATGTTTGTTTAACAATGCAAGCTAGATTCTGTCAATAAAAAGGTACATTTCAGTCCCCATATACAGATTGATGCAAGACAGAATCCATTTCAAACCAGAACTCGTTTTCAATCTTCAGGTGTGTGTGGTGGGATAAACTTTGTCCCTTATAGAGTTTTGGAATTGTTTTGACTTTTTTTTTTGGAAGTGAATGTGATATTATTGACGTAAGTATATCTTTTTATATCTAGGTACCCCTGCATCAAAAACTCTTTCATGGCATTTAGCATCAGAGACTAAATCTACCTTAAAAGGGACTTCACAACCTTCACCGAAGTAAGTTTAGGAAAATTTAATGGTTCGAGATTGTGCAAGACTGCTTCTTTTTCTGTTTTCCACTCTCAGCATGGATAGTATTATCTTATCATTTCTACTTTTACAGCATTGAAAACCCAAAATTTTCTGCCAAGGCCGCGGGAGTTTTCCACCTTTTAGGTTTGTGGAATAGTTGTATCCCTTTTATTATATAACAATTCAGTTTAATTGGCCAAGCAATGGTTATTTCTTGATGTAGAAATCATAGCTCCTTACAGTTCATGGTTATGTGCATGTAGATAATGAAGAGAGCACCTGGATGAAATCCTCACCAGCAAAAATTCACTTACCAAATGGAGTTCCTACTTCTGGTGTACCCATGCATACTTTGGGTGGCACACGCAGGGTAATGTCATATTCATCAAGTGCCAGTGCCTGGTGGTGCCATGCTTGATAGTTGATAGTCAACTTGTGATTATTATTTCCTATTTTTTACCAGTTGCTTGTCAGTGTTCTAAAACCTTTTTGTTTATGTTTAAGTGAATTTTTTTGGCTAGCACTTGGGTAAAAAGGAAAAAGGTGTTAAATTGTTATAAATTACCAAATAATGTCATGTATGAAATGTTTGAATGACCTGGACTTGTACAACAGTTCATGTAGGTAATAAGCTCTGCATTTTAGTAGTCTATCTTGGTTATAGCTGTAGGTTTACGGACACAGGTGCAAGGAGAAGTTTACTTTTCTGGGATAGGACAAAGAATTATTTTTCTATATTTCTGACTTATTGTGGTTATGTGACTACTTCAGTTGATAATTATAGCACATTGCTTTAGAATTGATACTTCATAAGTCCTGGCCATTTGCCATTTATGCTATATCTCTATCACTGACATTATTTTTGGCAAGAAATGATGTATGGATTAAGAGGTGTCTGACTTTAGTCCTTGGGAAGAAAGAGCTGCTATTTTAGTATGATGCTCTTGCAAAATGATATAGCAGTGAATATTTTGTTTATGCTTGTGCTTTAAACTGTTTGTTCATTGGGAGCAGTATTTTATTTTGGAGTTCCATACATCAAAAACTTTATCACTTTTACTATTTCACACTGACAAATTCTGGTTTGGGGATGACTGGTCATGTTCCAATTGCATTGTCAACTAAGATTTGTTACTTGGATTACATTGTCACTAAAAAAGATAGGAAGATGCAAGGTTGTGCTGTGGTGGTCCAAATGTTGCTGAATGACAGTGGAATTAAGATTTAAAAGGCTAGGGTTAGGGTCAGGAAATTTGGGGAATTGAAGGTTCACTGGAGTCATGCTAGGGTTAGAATGTTTTGCAGGTAGAGGAATGGTGATTAAGGACTTACATACAATAGCAGGTTTAAGTGTCCTGATTGGTCCTTGAGCAGATTGAAGGGGGAGTACATTATGGTTTGAAAGAAAAAGAATAATTTAGATGTTTGGTCAATACAGAATTGTAGACAGTGTCAAATTGAGAGATGATGTAGTCAACATAAGATGTCTTGGTTGTGTTAAATTGAAAACTAAATTACAAATTTAAGAAGAAATGGTAAAATATTGTAAAAGTTAAATTTGATCTTTGCACTTAGGCCTCATTAGAAGGCACAACAAATAAAATGGTAACTGGTATGTATATTAAATCAATATGTCCGAATAAGACCTAGGTATTAAAGTAACATCCAATAATATAAGAGCAGCATAAATTACAAGCATTCAATACCAGGGACTGCAAAATTTAAATAATTTTTTTAAAAAGGAAAAAAACTAAAGAAAACGTACTAGAAGCCCTCTAAACTTAAAATTAATGCGAAATGTTAATGTAATTAAGCCTTTTTAAATATCACATTCACAACCAGGTTAATATAAAAATTAGTCCAAAATATTGAGTTGATGCTCTGATCTGAAAGCTTATGCTCCTGTCTATTAAGTACTTGATATAGTATTTTGCTTATAGACTTGATCTTATTCGGTGACTTCTGCTGAATATGTGCTTCTCATTTAGTATATTTAAATTGTGTGAATGGATACGATCCAAACTGGGTATTCTAATGGCGACAGTAAACTTCTATGGGAGATCCATTTGACAGGATTTAGATTTACTAAGTCCGTATGTTAAGGACTTGAAGGGAAAATGACATTAGATTGGAAATGCAAATAAAACATTTTTCATTATTGAATTCATGTATTATATTTAAAAAATGCTCCAAAACATCTAATAATGGGAAGTTTTTTTTTCCTCCTCTTGAGCTTTGACAGGTTGTTTCCAACTTACTGGGAAAAATGATTATTTTTATTTGATTTGCATTGAACATAAGAAATGTTAATGTTGTCTATCACTTAATGCACCGGCTAGCCATATTTTCCTGCTAGCCATTTTGCTTGAACTTAAGAGTCTTAAGAGTTGAAGGGTGCATTTATTCATGTTCATAAGTGTTTTACTAAAGTAAATTTTCTGTGAAAAACTACTCATGAGTCTCTATCTGCAGGATGCATTGGAGGGTTCCAAACCATTGACAGCATTCAAGTCACTTGACAACCCGAATCGGCGTGAGAATGTCCAAATTCCTACTCGGAGCAAAAGTGTGCTATCAGCTTTCTTTGTCAAGCAGAAAACACCAAAATTGAAGGCTGGTTCTTTCTCATGAATACCTCCCAAGGCAATCCCTTCCCCCATGCAACTGCAAGGTTCTCCATGGATGTGGAGATGTCACTAATTTTTGGATTAAAGAGTGGGGATGTTACTTTAATCTAGCCAGATGCTTTATTCTCTTTCCTTTAACCATGCCTCTACAAAATGCTCAGAATTAAGTGGTTTCTGGTTCAAGCCTTCCAATAATGACAGTGTATAGTATTCAGGCACCTGTAAAAGGTATATTTGTGGTATGTCTATGCAAAAAAGGTTACATTAACTTTCTTGTCCTTAGAATTTTGAAGTTTCCAAGGTAGGCTCTTGTTCTGATATCTATTCCTTTTGACTAATAAGATAGCATTAAACCGTTTGAAGGGCAGAGATTTGATATTCCAATCTAAGTAAAAGTGTTCTGGCAAGTTTTAAAAATCAATTTCATGCTGTAAATTATAGAGTACCGCTATACTCTCAAACGGAAGAGGTGGTGGATGGCCAAAAACGAAGAAAGGTTCTTATGGCTCAGGGATCGTCTCGTATGCACTTAGAAAATAATCACACATGATGCCGTATTGAATCTACCGATTCAGATTTCTTCCGTTGGATTTTCAATTTTTCTTGTATTATAAAGTGAGATATTTTATTAGGTTGGGATTATGTATAATTTCCACTATAATGGGTAACAAGAAAATGTGAACCCGTTACAAAAAGAAAAACACTTGCGTTTGCCGGGAGTCGAACCCGGGTCTATTGCTTGGAAGGCAATTATCCTAACCGTTGGACTACAAACGCTGTTGTTGTTTGGTAGCATCATATAATATATCAATATTGATCAACTTAGAATCGCTGCGCGGGCAGGAAGATACGCAAGCTCTGTTGTGTTTAGAGTTCAACTACCTAAAATCTCATAATAATATGTTTGATAATATTTGAAGGACCATCTATTTTCGTTTACAATCATATCTTAACCGTTGATTTCCGTCAACCAACGGTTATCATTTATTGTAAATGAAAATAGGTTGTATGTATAACATTCCTCGTATTTGAGATAATACCAAGTTTGAATCAAAATTTGAATTCCAACAAGCAAAAGAAAATTATTGTTACTTTTGGGGTAAGTAAAATAAGTTTGTGTGTATTCGTAATTATATTTTAAACATTTATTTATTTTTTATCTAACTAAAGAGATAAAATTATATTATTTTTGTAATAATAAATTCAAAAGTGAATTTTACTCATCCTCTCCAAACAACAATAATCATATCAAAATTACTTTTCAGATAAATGTTTCAAAACATAAGTCAATTTACCCAAATTTGCTTTTAATCAAAATTATTTTTTAGCAAAATCAAGTTTATATAAAATTAAGTTTGGAAACTTTAACTTATACGCACACTGAATGAAGTGATTTCTTAAAAGCCTGGGTTCACGTGCAGGGAAGTAGGGATTTATTGGGTCTGAGGCAAGTGAAAAATTCATCATAGAGGGCAATGAAAAATGGAATTGAATCAATGAAATGGTCCAATATTTAGAAAAATTCATCATAGTCCATCCTAATATTTGGGGGTCTCTAAAGCAAAAGTGGGTCGTGACTTAAAACTTTGGGCATGAGGGAAAGATGGGTGGCTGGCAAATGGGCAATAACTTTGGGCCATAGCTGATAAGAGCTGAGCAAACTAGTTGGAAGCACGCAATAACTTTGGGCAGTTATGGGGCACGCTTGGCAGACCGGAAGCAGCACAAGAAGGATTATAATTTATATAAGGACAAAACAAAAAGGAAAACAGTTAAACTCAATTCTTCATAAAAGGGTCAGCCGTTTACCCTCTAGCGGCCAAAGACAAGGGCAATAATGAGGCTATAATAGGAGAGGATTACTGCCAAAATGCTGCTGCTGATGAATATTGCCTCATCAGGGTATTATAGGTATTGATATCATAAAGTAGCTTTCACGGGGCAAGCAAGTTTTCATTATTTTATTTAGGAATGATAGGTTATTCTTTCATTGCTCCAAAAATAAATAATTTTATACTCATTTTTTTCTTTTAAGTATTATTCACTTATATCCACAGGCATCGCACGGGTAATTCACTAGTATATCCGCAAGCGTGGACATAAACTTTTGGATTTTAGTTTTTTTTTTTTTTTTCTGTTGTAGTCATGTAGGTCCTTATTTATCTCTTAGTTCAATATTTATATTAGGAGTAAATATTCTTTTATATCCCTAACAAAAAATATGGTCCCCATTTTAATTCCTTACCAAAAATTAGTCTGGAGGAGGTCCCTAAAAAATGAAAGTGGATCAATTTAGTTAAAAGCGTGGTCCCTTACAAATTTAAAAAAGATCTACATTAGTCCCTCAAAAAGACTAAAATGGGGACCATGCGACTATTTTTTTTTTATAATGGACTAAAGTGGGGACCAAATTTTTTATTAGGGACTAAAAAAGATATTTATTCTTATATTAGTTAGCAACGTACGGAGATGATTAAAATAACGTAGCAATGCAAATTGATTAGAAAGAAAACTTATTCTTCATCCTCTGTCACGTACCCATCCACATGCTTCCTTCATCCTTTGTTATGGAAGCAACTAGATTATGAGCGGGTTCAAGCGTTAATTTAATTTTTTTTACAAAAAAAAATTTGGGAACACTGTCCGGCCGTCACTAAATGTGCGGATATAAAAAAAAAATTATAGGTCCCCACTGCTTATATCCCACGTTGTGTTATTTTGAACCAACAATGGACAAAAAGGCCAACAAAATCGTTTTTGGATATATATATATATATATATATATATATATATATATATATATATATATATATATATATATAACTTGAAAATTAATCTTTTTATTTGTTATTTAACATCATGTGAAATAATCCTAATCATATAAAAACGAATTAATTGTGATGATTTTATAATTATATATTCTAATATTTTTCCTCTTTCATCCCTTACTATCATTAATCCACATTTGTATGATTAGAATTTTCTCATATGACAGGATCATATTAAATAACATAAAATTCACTCTCATATTGCTTTCACAATTCAACCTTTGTGTAGTGAAAATTAACTATTTTCCATGATTTTTTTTCTAGTATTTAATTTTTTAAAGGGTGTTTGGTATGAGTATTTCAATTGGAATGATGAAAAATTGGGTGAAGTGAAAATTTCTTTTACAACTCAACCGTGGTGTAGTGAAAATTAACTATTTTCCATGATTTTTTTCTAGTATTTAATTTTTTAAAGGGTGTTTGGTATGAGTATTTTAATTGGAATGATAGAAAAATTGAGTGAAAAATATTTATTTACCATGTTTAGTACGAGAAATGTGAACAAAATGCTAACAATTTTTTATTTTCTAGCATTTTCCTTTTGAACTACACAAAGCTAAAAAATTATGCCACCCAAGTCATGGTATTCTTTTCCCCATTCTCTTGGATTCTGAATATAACTTTTAGAGACTTAAAGAAATGAACGTTTGATGATGGCTCACTTACAATATTCAAAAAATGATAGGTATTTTGATAATTTTGATTCACATTCTTATCAATATTTTATCATCAACTAAATATAATATCAGTAAAATTAATCCAATGTTACTAATAAAATTTTGGCCAACCAAATTCTTTTTCTTAACTTGCCGATAAAAAAATTTCTATCAAATTTCTTACAAATATCTCCGATAACAAATGCACTAAGATTCAAACAGTTATTTTTAGCTTGTGTTACTGGCCAAACAAACACTAACGAGTTACCAATTTGAAGTTCCGAAACCTCCTTTGGCTCAGGCTATAATTCATTTGACCTTCATTTGCTTGTTGACCATGCCTTTCTGAAGTGGCTTTTCAACTAGCAAACAAAAACGAGTTACCAATTATTAGGAACAGTTAGGAAATTGCTACTTCTCTCTGAAGTTAAATAAGTTAGAGAAAATGAATGAACTCATTTCGGGGTTAAGATTAAAGGAAATAGATAAATTATATAATTATATTGCGAAGCATTTGAAATATTACATATTTTTGGTTTTTTATTTAATTTTAATTAGTCTTTTATTTTAATTTTATTTAGATTTTGAATAAATTAGTCTTTTTTATTTTTTTAAGTTTAAATTGAATTTTCATATATTCTTAAGGCGAGTCAGCACTTTGAATATCCTCACAAACTTCAACTATTTGAATCGACTACAAGCTCGAATCATAATTTAATCATAGTTAAAGCTACTTGCCTCTTCCCAAAAATATATTTGGTAGGAATATAAATCAGATTCTCTCATCACCCACTCAACCCGTGTTGCCAACTAAACTACTATATATATATATATATATATATATATATATATATATATATATATATATATATATACATATATATATATATATGAGATATGTTATTCTGCCTATTCTTATTTTGCCTACTTTTGTCTATCTTCCTCAACACCGTTAGATTACAGTATCATCCAACGATAGAGATTTACGAGATAAAATCAATTCTTTCACCCTTTCTCTCTCCTCTCCCTTTTCTCTTCCTCGCTGCGGCATCAGAATCAGAATCAAAATCATCCTTCTTGATACACTTGTAATTGACAAAAATAGATTAAGAGGGTATGAATCACTGACAATGGTTTGGAGTCTCAAATTTGGGTTTTCTGACTATCCTTTCTTTCTTTTGTATGATTTTTATTTTGAATATTCAACATTGGATTGGTAACAAAATAATATTTCTTCCAAAATCACGACCTAATGTTGGAGGATGATTGAATTTTGTATGAAATAAGGATCAGATTGTTGGAGGATGATTGAATTCAATCACGAACAACATACAAAATAATATTTAGTATGAATATTCATACCCTCCAAATGGATCGTCCAATTTGGTCGTGGATTAATTTAAATCACGACCAACCCAATGTTGAATATCATAATTTTAAATCACTTAACAATTTGATCCTTGTATACAAAATAATATTTTATAAAAATTCAATTACCAACAGATTGTCAATTACAAGTAAAGAGTGATTGAATTAGCGAAACTTGATACCCTTCAGTCGTTTCAGTATTCTGATGCCGCAGCGAGGAAGAGAAAAGGGGGAGGAGAGAGAAATGGTGAGGGGCAATGGGAGAGAAGAAAGGGTAAAATGAGTGATTTTATCTTATAAATCTCTATTGTTGAATGATATTGTAATCTAACGGTGTTGAGAGAGGTAGGCAAAAGTAGGCAAAATAGGAGTAAGCAGAATAATCTATACCTATATATATATATAGGGATAGATTATATATATATATATATATATATATATATATATATGAGGTATCATCATTTGACACCTCATCTGAGAGCCGTTAGATCAAAAAAATCAACGATTCT